AATATTAGTCTTCCAGTTGGTGCAATAAAAATGTGTATGCATATTACTTTCCCTACAGCAAGAAAATATTCAATACATTCTACTAATAAAGGAACTCACTTTACAGATCAAATACTTAAGAAATTATATAACGCTCTCCCTCTAAAATAACAGCATATTTGCCCAAATAGAAAAAAGCTCTGAAGAAATAAATAATGTTACTTTAAGTTAGAATAGTTCAAATTTTCAGAAGAGGTGAATTACCCATATTATATTCTAAATTGTCATATATCATCAAAAACCAGTAGCAAGTGCCCAGTCATGTAAATGGATACAAGCTACATACCCTTAAGAGACACCACCAGACATAACCCTGACTGATATACAACTAAAGCTGGATATAATAGAGATTCTGTTACAATTTATATGTAAACTGTCCCCCAAAGTCTCATGTACTTGGAAGGTGATTGAATCATGGGGGTGCTATAACCATCAGTTGAATTCATAGCTGAATGTGCTGTTATGAGGTAGGACCTAGTCAAAAGTGATGGGTCACTGGGGTAGCTACCAGGAAGAGTATAGTCTTATGCCTGGCTCCTCCCTTCTCTCTCTGCTTTCTGGCTGCCATCGGTTGAGCAGCTTTCTTCTCCAATGCACTTCCACTATCTAGCCATCCACCATGCTGGTTTTGCCTTGGATCCAGCCAATCAAGAACCAAATCTACTGGAAATTGAGTCAAATAACCTTGTCCTCCTTTAAATTGTGAGTGCGAGGTATTGAGTCTCAGTGATAGAAAAGTGTCTAAAAAAAGAAAATTGCTACCAAGAGTAGAGTTGTTGACTGTTCCTGACCATATGATTTGGAAGCTTTTGGAACTGGCTTGCTGAAGGAGTTGGGAAAATTTGGAAGTTGCCAGCTTTAGAATTTTAGAAACAGAAATTGATGGGAGATGCTGGTGATAGCTGAGGACAGTAAAGGCCATGCTCAAGATGCTTCAGATCAGAATGAGAACTATTGGAAATATTACTAGAGGCCATATGTGTTATATTCTGGCAAGAAACTTGTCTACATTTGCACATGTCAAAGAATTCGTGAAGCTGAATTTAAACATGATATACTGAATAATCTGGAAAAGGAAATTTCAAGGCAGCCCAATGTTAAAGCTGTGGCATGGATTCTGGTAACTGCTTTTAGCTAGATCTATAGGACAATCTGAAGCAAAAAAGCAGAGCTGAATGATTTGAAGAATTTCCAGTTTTGCCAAGAAGGAAGTATCCATAAATTGGGGCTAAGGAGAGCTTAGTAGTTACCTTGGTTCCTTTTCCCTCATTACTGAGACAAAATGCCCAACACCTGCAATTAAGGGAAGAAAGGTTTATTTAGCTCACAGTTAGTGGAGGTTTTAGTCCATAATCGACTGGCTCCAAAACAGGGAGGCATGGCACAGGGACAACACTTCAAGTAAGGAGAAGACAGAAAAGCAACAAGAGCAAAAGGGGAGGGGGAGAAGCAAGCCTCTTTTCCTCCCTTATATTGTATGCCAGCTATCCAGCCATACCATCTCAGTGCCCTCCTGTTCCACAAGCTCAGGATGTTTACAAAGTAAGGATCCTGGCCCCTGCTGAATTAAACTTCTAAACTTCTCAATTTGATACAATGTAGCAACCATTACAATAGTTGAAAAGATTATCAATAAAAAGAAGCCAACTGTTTTGCTTCAGAACAATAGGGAAGACACCTTGAAGGCATTTTAGGAAATGGACAGATCCTACCCATTACAGGTTCAAGGAGCTAAACTTTTCCTAAACTCCTTTGAAAGACTTTGCTTCAAAAAGTGTCTCCAAGTCAACCTGTTCACTTAGGGCTACACAGAGGAGTGTTTCCCTGAGTTCAGCCATGGAGGCACTCAAAGTCCTCTGTAGCCATGGTCCAAGGGGATGATGCTTTTGCTTTAGTTGGTGTCAGATGTTGGCATTATACACATGGTGCTGGTTTTTCAGACATGCACAATATAAAAGTTATGGGTCACGGAGACTTTGATCCAGATTTCAAAAGGTCTTTAAAGACAGGCAATGTTCATGATGCATGAAGCTGTGAAAGTGAAGCTGAAGGTATAGTGGAGACTCCAGGAGGTTGGAGATGACAGGCATAGAGAATATCCGCTGAGGAAAGCTAGAGGCAGTGAGTAAAGCCAGCCCAGGAGAGAGACCATGTGCACTGTAAACACTGAGGCCATAGCAATGGGGTTACCCAAATCCTTTGGAGGTAATATCTCACTACAGCCTTCCCAAATGCTAGAAATGGAGCTATAGCACTTAATGTTTTCCCTGCCTTGCTTTTATCTGATTCCTTTCTATCTCCCATTCTTCCTTTTGGAATGGGAATGTTTACTCTGTAAACATGGAATATATATATTCCATTATATATTGGAATTATCTTTCTTTTTGATTTTCACAGGATCTGACAGGTAAGAATTTTCCTTGAGTCCAGAGGAGTTTTTGGACTTGGACTTTTCAGCAAAGCTTGGACTTTGGTGGCACTTAAAATGGATTAAATATATTTTGCATAATGAGATGGACATAAGCTTTTTGGGGGTTAGAGGTAGAATGTTAAAGTTTAGATCTAAAACAACCTGTGAAAAGTCTCATGATTGAATTATAGGGGTGTCATAGTTATCATCTTGAGTGCTGTTAGAAGGTAGACTGCAGCTGGAAGAGGTGGGTCACAGACGTACGACCTAGAAGGGAGTATTATTGTCCCTCGATCTTCCCTTATCCCTCCACTTCCTGGATGCTGTGGGTTCAGCAGTTTTCCTCAGCCATGCCCTTCCACCACAACATGTCTGCATTGAAGCCAACCAGCAACCAGGGACTGAACCTACTGGAAACTGAGCCAAACAAATCTTTCCTGCTTTAAACTGTAGGTGTTGGATACTTTGTCTCAGTGACAGTAAGATGACTAATAGAGATAGCAACAAAAGTCAACCTTAACAACACATTTGAAAAAAATCAAGCAGGATAGTCTTTTGGATTGCTGAATCGGCCATTAGCTTCAGGAAAGATGGTGAGAAAGATACTTATAGGCATCACCTGGGCAAGTGCTCCCACTAGACAAGAACAAGTTTCCTGAGATCACAGGGGTAGGCCTTTAGTGGTGATACTGTGACCACCAGAAGATGGGTATATGATCTGGTAATAGAGATTTGGTTGGAGCATCACTGTCACCTAGGAACAAGTACTAAACCCTTGCAGTAACCAAAACCTAGAAATGTGGACGATAAGGAGAAATCAGCAAAGATATAGGCAAAGAGAAGAGTTAGTTACACCCCAGACACAATGCTAAAGAAGTATCTTGAATAACAGTTGCTAAAAAACACCAATCTAGGAATAAATCTTATTATAGATTGGAAACTAGAAAGTATTATTGAATAAGATTGAAGAAGACCTAAATAAATTAAGAGACTTACCATGCTCAGTTTGGAAATTTAATTAAGTGAGGTGTGAAATGTGTATGGAAATGCAAAAGACCAAAACCATCCAGGAACATTTTAAAAGTTTATATAATTAGATATCATGGTATACATTATCCTAATCTATACTAATTAAGACAGTGCATGATTAGTAAACATTAGTAATAAATGGGCTGTAGAATATAGAAACAGGCTCCCTCATACTGGTACTTGATTTATGATAAAAGTAGCAATGAATTGCTATAGTCTTTTCAATAAATGATGCTGAGTTAACTGGATATGCAAATAGGAAAATTTTGATTATGATTCCAACCTCATACTATATACAAAAAAAATAAAAAAACACTTCTAGGTAGATTGTGCATCTAAACATGAAAAGTAAAAATGACAAATATTTTCTAAGAAAATGTAGGAAGATATTTTATTCTTTCAGAATAGGCAAAGATATCTTAATAGGATCCTAAAAGTCCTAACAAAAAGGAAAAAAATTAATAAATTAGGTCATGTTTAATTTAAGAACTTCTAAAGTGCTGCATTAAAACAAAAAGGCATACCATACTGTAGAAGTTATTTTCATTGTATATATCCAACAAAAGAAAAAGTTTCAAGAGAATATGTCTTAGTTACTTTTCTCATTGCTGAGACAAAATACCGAACACCCAAAGTTAAAGGGGGAAACGTTTATTTCGCTCATAGTTTGAAGAGGTTTCATTCCAGTCAGCTGGCTCCAAGCCAGGGTGTCACATGGCAGAGGGGCAACAGTTCTTGGAGGCTGGGGCAGGGAAGACAGCAAAAGCAGCACAAGTAAAAAGGGGGAACAAGCCTCTTTCTGCCCCTTTTATCTTATCCAGACTGCTTGGATTGGGGTGGTGCTAATCCAATCAGTGGAGTGATTCAGCAATCACCAGCCTTAATCCCAGCACCCTTAATCCCAGCGTTGTACCATGAATCAGTTATGAACTCTAGATTCAGCTACTTCCCAAAAAGCCTACCTCCCCATGACTGTATGAGGCTTTGGGGGGACCTCTAGAAGCAAACTGTAACAGCATATAAGTGGTTCCTCAAATCAGTAAAAAACAACAGGCCATCAAATAGAAAAAGTAGCAAAAGATTACTAAAATGCTTCACAAAAAGAATAAATAAATGGTCAGTTAATGTATAAAAGTAGTTTAGCTTCATTGGTCCTCAGGGAAATGCAATCAAAAACTTCAAAGTAAAACTACTAGGGTGCCAGGGATATAGCTCAGTGGCACAGCACATGCCTGGCAAGCATGAGGTCAGGAGTTTGATTCCCAATACAAAAAAAATAAAAATTAAATACGGAAACTACTAGTAGCCAACAAAATATATGCACAAGAATATTCACATAACTGTTCTTAGTAGCTAAAAATTAGAAATAGTCCATTAATGGTACAAGAGATAGACTGCAGTGTATTTGTGCAATACAAATTCTATATAGCAATAAGAGTGAATGAACTTACATCCCATAACTCATGAAATTCACATATTTTTGAGTGAAAACACAAATGCAGATGGTATGTGTTGCCTTTCTACACATCATGATGGTTTTTATTTATTTAATGTTATTGTATTAGTTTTCTTCTGATTGTATGACAAATCAGTACAAACTTAATGGCTTAAAATATCAAAGCAAAGTTTTCCTTTCCGTTTCATAGAAGTCCAACACAGTCTTCCTGTTTCATAGAAGTCCAACACAATCCTCTTCAAGGATTAAGATTTACTGTCAACTTGACTGATTTGAGAACCACCCGGGGAATTACTAAAGCACACTTTTGGGTACATCCAGGTGTGTCATACAGATGTGAATTTGGAGTCCATATCTAGTCTCTCTTTACTTCTTCTTTAGCATTCTTCCCTTGGTGTACTTTGTGAATATCAAGAATCCAGCATCTTTGCTCTTCAATGATTTTATCTTTCATATTTAGGTGCACATGATATTTCTGCCTTGCAGACAGCTGACCATGAACAGAATCCTCTGAAACGTAAACCAAATAAACTTCTCCTTTAAATTCTATATGTTGAGTATTGTGTCCCAAAAACAGGAAAGCTACTAATACAACTGCATAATTTTGTGGAGAATGTTTCCATTACTGTGATGGTTAAGCTTAATTGTGTCAATTTAATTGGCTTGGCAACTATCAAGAGGACTGGTGAGGCAGTGGGCAAGCTGACTAAAACACTGTTTGTTTCTAAATTCTAGAAACTCCCTATACTCCTTATGGCCCTCTTCCTCCATCTTCAAAGCCGGCAATAGTGAGCTGAACTCTTTTCACAGTATGTCTTTGATCCTCTTTTTAGCCTCTTCTGCTTTTAACAACTCATTTGATTGGATCAGACCCTTCTGGACAATTCAGGGTCATCTCCCCATCTCAGAGTCCTTAGCCTTAGTCACATTTGCAAAGTCGCTGCTGCCATAGAAGTAACACATCTGCAACTGCAAGGACTAGAGTGTAGATATCTTTGCAGGCCTGAGAGCTGATTTGGTAAAGAGAATAATGTTTCCTCCCAAATTACCCCATTGCAGAGGGAGCTCAAGGTACAGAAGATGAGTGAGATGAAACTCTGATGACACTGAAGTAGGAGGAAGGGAGCTGTACACCACTTTGATTTTGCTGTCACCTTGATTCTAGTCTGATGAGGCCTGTGTTGGGATTCTCATCTGCTGAATTTTAATATAAATTTTGTTGTTTATGCCACTAACTTTGTGATAATTTCTTACTGCAGTAACAGAAAATCAATACAATTGCACTCCTTTGGGTGCATACCCCATCCTGACCCTTTACATGTCACGCTGCTGCTCCTGCCAGGATACAGGGAAACAACCGTCACTTAGCAGGGGAATGAGAAGCCAAGAACCTATGCTGGGGAGGGAGATGGGTCACGTGTGAACCAAGCATATGTTCCGTATTAGTCAGCCAGGGCTGCTATAATGAAATACCACAGATTAAGTACATTTATTTATCATGTAGTAGAGCCTGAGTAGTCCAAGATAAAGCCACTGGCTAATTTAGATCTCAGAAAGAGTCCTCTTCTTGGCTTGAAGATGGTTGCCTTCTTGTTGTGCCTTCCCATAGTAGACTGAGACAAGGGGCTCTCATCTCTCTTCTCATAAAGATATTAGTCTCACCATGAGGCCCTCACCCCCATAACTTCATCTAAAACAAATCTTCTCTAAATACCTCAAAATATCATCATTCCACAGCATACTCCGTTGTCTCACTAGGTATTGCTTACAAAACACAAATTCTGAGATAAAATTAAGATTTCAAGACAGTAACCACAGAGCACTGAATCCTAAGCATAAGGCCCCTTAGTGAGCATGGTCCCAACACAACTACAGTAGTTCCAGAACCATGAAGTTGTTCCAGCTAATAGGAATGATTCAGTAGATTGGGGAAATTGAGCTTTATCAACTCAGGAACAAAGAATGTGGGGTAAATGAGAAAAGATGGGATTCTATGTATTAGTAGAATGTATGACCTTAAATGAGAGTATGAATCCTTTATTCTCTGTAACAGGAGAGGTTGGCAGATTATACCTGTATGTGTATTGGCAGATTGGTTTTTTTTCTACTTGTGCTTTATTGAAACATGATTTTTTTTATTTTAAAGAGAGTAGTAAATGAGAAACAAACAAATAGAACAGTAGCAGCATACCAGTATCACAAACATAAACAAAGCAAGAACATTCAAAGTCATACAGTCTCAAGACAAAATAATATCAATCAACAGTGGTTGTTATATTACATATCGCTATCCTCAACTACATTGCTCAGATTACCAGCTGTAAGAATGAAAGATTGCTCAAACCATTATAGGGAATAAGAAAATAATTCTTCAGTAAAACTAGATTGTTTTATGTGGTAACAATGTCAGATATTAGCCCTCTTCCTATTTCTTCTATTTTCTCATTAGCATAAGAGGAGCATCAATATCATAAAAAGAAGAAAGAATGGAAGAATTAGAGAACAGAGAGCATGTATTAGTTAATTGATTGTGTCAACTTGAGAAGTTTAGAAACTTAACTGAATTTGATTCAGCAACTGGCTCAGCAATTCTACATCCTAGGGTTAGAAGAGCCACTCTAAGTTGGACCATCACCTAGATGATATAGAAGAGAAACAAGGAAAGACAGAGGTGTTCCACTCTTCCTTCAGAGGAGCTCCAGTCTTTACCTTCAGTTTGGACGTCGTCTCCTGGCTTCTAGTGTAGACTCTCCAGCTTCCACCTTGGATCCTTTAGCCTTCTGGTGTAGACTCATCAGGTTTTGGTCGCAGGCTCATCAGCCTCCTGATACGGACTTGCACAGAACACTGCAGTGAACTCCAGACCCTGGACTGAATCCTTCGGTCTCCAGGGTGCACAGACGCTCTGCATGCTTCCTCATCCAGCTCTGTGGCTGACTGTCATAAGCCAGTCTTGTAATTTCTTATACATTTGTACACCTTGTGTTATATCTGTTTCTCTAGTAAAATCCTGACTGATACAGAGCAAAACCCGTAGGCCTGGAAAGACAAAAGGTATGGGATATTCATCTAGGAATATTTATGGAGTAGGCCAATGTGCGAGGATCAGTAGTCTAGGGTGAAATTAATCAGTCTTTAGCCAAATTCAGAAACCTAGTAATAGTTACAGAGTAGGCAATGAGTTGGATAAAAACATGTTGCATTTTGTCAAGTGAGTCTCATGAAGGAAAAGAAGCAAGAGCACTGAAGGCACGTGAGGATTACAGTGACAAAATGTGGTTTATGCCACCTGGTGACAATTCTCAGTTTTAGTTTAAATTACCAAGTTTTGTTCTGGCCTCTGGCTTGCACATTTAAAAGCAGCAGTAAGCCCAGGAATATTTCTGTGAGTTGGCACTAATTTCAGCAGCCTTCTGGAATGTAGGTTAGGATTTAAGGGACATATCCTCTGCCTCCTAGTTTTTCCAAAAGGGTTGTCTGCTATTTGTTCACCTGGCTTTACTCTCCTTTCCATCCTCCACCCTATAGAAAATAAATCATCCCTGTATACTTAAGAATGGCTATCAAGAAGAAGGCAGTCAGTGAGGTAGTTTCTAAATTCTAGTGCTTAACACATTTCTTATTCCAAAGCAATACTGTATTTTACATCATGAAACTGGGAAAGATAAGAGAGCAAATATTGATTAAAAAACAAGAGTTCCAAGAATTGAAATTTGGAGCCCACTAAGATTTACAGGTTCTCATTCCCTGCTTCAGCTACCCATTCCACGATGATAACCTAGCCAGCTTGCCTGGGCCACGCTGAGTGATGAGGAATGCTCCTAAGCCACATCCAAAACACGTAACAGGGACCTGAGCAGAGTGGGGCATATCTGTATTGCTGGCAGAGGGAAACGGACACACAACAATTTCAAGTTCAAGACCTGCCAGGGCAACTCAGTGAGAACCTCTCTCAAATAAATACATAAATAAATAGGTCTGGCAGGGGATGTAGCTCTGTGGCAAAGCAGTCCTGGGTTTGAACCCTACTCCCTGAGGGGAAAACACACATAATAAATTTTTAAAAATACAAAACTTCTTTTATTCTTTCATATTTGTTATTATAACATTAAAAGAAAAGAGTGCAAGTGGACTGCAGGCTGAATTTGGACACACCTGAGTCTAGACCTTACTTTATTATAACCATACTTTCTCCACCTCACTAAAACCCTCTGTCTTTTAACCTCATTCTTGCCAATGTTCTCCTTCCATTAACTTCTCAAACTCAGTAGGCATGCCAAGGTGTTGGATTTCACCACCTAACATGTTCACTCCCCAAAAAGTGAGAACAAGAAATACGCACATTTATGTATATATATTTCTTCTCTCTCTACTGATACTTATTTCCTACTTTACTGAAATAGAAACGATCAGAAAACCTTGAAGTTCTTCTTCCAGCACATGTACCAAACTATGGGCACCTTAACTCATATACTCTTACTCTCTATCATTGTGAAGATCTTTTCCTCAGGAATATATGCATACAAATAAACTTTTGCATTTAATGCCAAAGGATTCTCAGATTCACGTTAAGTTTATTAAGGAATTCTGAGATAAAGACCACTAACCTGCTGGGCATGGTGGTGTATACCTGTGATCCCAGCACTCTGGAGGTTAAAGAAGGAGGATCGCTGTTTGAGTTCAGCCTGGGCTATATAATCGAGCTCAAGGCCAGCCTGCCTCCTAAAACAACAAAAGAAAGAAAAAAAAAAAGCCCACTAAAGAACTGAAGATGCCATGTTGTTTTATTTATTTATAGGGAGCAGCTGAGGCTAGAAATTGATCACACGTGTAGGGGCAAGGCAAGGCCAGTCCCAGAGAAAGAGCTCTGGAGACAATCAAGGTGCTTCAATCCAGAGAAACACTTTGCCTGAGACAATCCCAGCCATTACACACTGGGCAACCCTGTGTCCCTTGATACCAATTTTGTCGAATGTACAAATAAACACTCCTATGGTGGTTGACCAGTTTCTTTCCTCACACTGGGAGAGAGAAGGCTCCAGGCAACCTCAGCTTTCCTCTCTTATTTCTTCTTCCTCTCAAAGTTCCCCCCACCCCACCCCCCTGCAGCATTGAGAGGTGCAAGAGCTGCATAGGTCACAGCATTTATCCCATGGATTGGAGGACACTGGCAAGATGTTTGAATTATTTCACCTAAAAATGTACTACAAGTTTCAATGATCAGATAGCTGGCTATTCAGAGATGATCCCATTTTTACCACTGGGGAAAATTTATATAAAGGATTATTTGCCATGATGCCAACTATCCCTGTATAGATTATTTTTTACTGACAAGAGAAAAATAAACTTTTACCATAGAAAGAATTGTCACAAGCTTAAGTAAACGACCAAACAGCAATAGTGGAACAAACCTGATGTTAAACGTGATGAATTGCACAATATGATATATGAAGTATCCTTGCCAGTTCCCTTTAGTCTGAAGTATTCACGCTTCTATACCTTGCAGTGTAAAGAAAATACAAAATCTAGTACACAGTTCAGATTAAGAGCATTCTCAAGCTAACTGACTAGCTCTCTTAAAGGAAGAAATTTTGTATTACTGTAAGGAATTGGATTAGAAGTTTTATATTAAAAGAGACCTAAGAAAGTTAAAACCTAAGTTTGAGGGGCAATGATTCCTAGGATCATGTTTCAAAAACAAACTTCATACAAAAGGCATTTTATGAACAGTTAGAGAAATCTAAATATTGACTAGGTGTTGAGCAACAGTAGAGATTAGTTATTTCAAAGCACTTTTAAAGGTACATATAGGACAATGTCCTATGGGAGACACTTGTATATAAAGAATGTAGAGATGAAGTGTCTTATGTACAATTTTCAATTCTGACCAAACAAAAACTACACACATATATGTACACACATACATACATAATAAACAAATATGGCTAAGTATTCGAATTGTGATGGTAATGTGTGACTTTTTAATTATCTTTTCTGTGCTTAAAATATTCAGAATAAGAAGTGGGAAAAAATAATTGTGCCTCCACCCCATCTTTAAGAGAATTTTGTGGGGCTGGGGATTTAGCTCAGTGGCAAAAGCGCCTGCCTGGCAAGCGCAAGGTCGTGAGTTCGGTTCCCGATACCGGAGAAAAACCAAAAAAAAAAAAAGAGAGAATTTTGTGTTTTATTTATCTCAAAAGATTTCTTGTGATCCTAGGACAAAACGTAGTTCTCCATTCTCCAAATTTCCCTGATATTTTGTATTTAGCACTTAACATTCTGCCTTGTACCCAGCTTGGGGAACACACTGTAAATTCCTAAGAGACAGAGTGAGAGAGTACAATCCTAGGGTATAGAAATTGAACAGCTAAGCTAGAATGAGTTATGGGTGGGGTTTATTAGACAAAAAGATGTTAAGCTAATTCAAAAGGTTTTCAGGTCGAGGTGACAAAAACCTCAAATAGGGTGCAGCAACGAAGATGAAAAGTCCGCAAAACGGGTGAAAGGTTGAGTTTACAGCCCTGACCTGCCTTTGGGCTTTTCTTAAGCTTTCATAAGTTGCGTGAGACCAATCTGTAAGTACCCAAACCTGGACAGCGTTAGGATCCAACAGCTTTCTAGCGCCCCAAACACCGTCTGGGACACGGGGTCTAAGGGGAACTCTTCAGAAACGCGTCCGCGTCCAACACGCGCTGCGGGAGCGGGGAGCTTTGAACACTCATCTTTCACCCTGATTTCCAGGGCCACGCTCCACATGCCCACGTGTGGGCAACAAGCCGCCTGACAGTCTCAAAGGTCACATTTCTCTAAGCAGCTAACTTAATTTGTTTACACTGTTCTGACGCAAACCTCCTTCTGGCTTTAGCGCAGGTTTGACAGGAAAGGACTTTGAACCCGCAGGGCGGACAGCTTAGCGTGACAGCTCTCTCCGGGTAACGGTCGGCTGACCGCGAGGTGGGACACTCTCCCGCGGCGTCCAGGACGCACCCGAGCGCCGACCCTTCTCCCAAGGTCGGGCCGCCCGGCGAGGACGGGCCTCACCGAGCATGCGCAGGGATGTACCGCGCAAGCGCCCCCCCCTCCGGGTCCCCTCCTCTGGCCACGCCCACAGCCCGGGGCCACGCCCACACCCACGGGCCGGGGGTGGCTGCCCGCGCACTGTCGGTCCGCAAGAGTCCGCGGCTACTCTAAGAGGCGCGAGCGCGAGTCAACATGGCAGCGGTGCTGAGGAGAAGCTGCGGGGTGAGAGGGAGCCAGGGCCGCGGCGGGGTGTGGTGGTGGTGGTGATGCAGGGGAGGCAAGCGGCGGGTGGGGCTCGGGCCCCCTCCTGCCCCGCGTCCCGCGTCCTCCGCCCCCGCTCCGTGGGCGCCCGCACCCCCCGGGCCGCGCACCCCGCCGACGCTGGCCTCTGACGCGGAGCCCTCCGCCCCTCCCCGGGAGCCGCTCACGCACCCACCCCTGCCCATGGAGAGCCGGGCCCCGGGCAGCTGTCAGCGCCCCGCGAGAAAACTGTCGCGGCCGACACTCGCAGCCCGGGAGCGAAGGCGCACAGGCGGGTCGCGCCGCGGGCGCGCGGGCTGTCAGGGAGCGCGTGCACGGCTCCTCGGCCCGCGCCGCAGCGGGAAGGGGCAAAGCAGCGGCCTCCTCGGGTACCTGACACACTCAGTGCGCTTTGTTTTCGTAGTAAGGAGGAGCCTTCAGGGTGCCTGGGTCAAAGCAAAGTAAAAGACAAGCCGGACTGCAGGACTTTGCGCGAGCCTTGTCTGTGTGCTGTAGTGTTAGCTTAGGTTCTCAGTGCCTTTGACCGCGTAAATATTATGGTGCGCTCCCAAGACTGACAAATAACACGTGAAAACGGAATTAAAGTTGTTCTTGACCGAAAAGACCTGCCGTTTTAGAATTTACAGTAATGATATTATTGCCCAGTTTTTGTGGTTGCTATGCAAGGTAGTGGACTCTGAAGGGAGAAATGAAGGGATCTTTGAAAATTATTTTTAACTCTGACGTCAGAAAAAAGGTTTCTGACCCCAAAGAAGGATCCCCAGAAAAACTTAATCACAAAGCTTATTTCCCTGTATCTCTTCTTTGATATTCCTATAAAAGCACTGAAATGTCTAAGTAAACCGTGGGAGTTTTTCATTGTGGTGATAATGTTACAGAATTGATATCTGATTAAAATTGCTGTCTTTGGGGTATTTTGCAAATCTGTTGTTCTGATCAAAGAGCCTGAAATATTAAAATCGGTATTTGATGACAATTAGTATGTATTGCAAACACGTACTTGTAAAAAATTTTAAAAGAAAATAAAAAATCTTACTGATATCATTAGTCAATTAAGAGCAGAAGCCAGAACTTTGTAACCTGTCCTCAGACTCAGCAATTCCAAGAAGTAATTTCTTGGTTCTGCTTCTAAACTACTCTCTCAAGGACTGACAGTATTATGCAGTTAACTGGGTCAGTGGACAGTGATCTCTGGCAATCTTTGCACTTTGTTTTTCGTAACGTGTTTTCTGGAAAAATCATGTAAATGGATTTTTTATAAAGTACTTAAAATTCGTTAATTTTACCTGTCTTGTGAGGAATGACTTTTGTGCTGTGTTTTTTAAACACATTTACAATAGAGTCATGTTATTTGGTCTGGTTTTTGTGGGGTGGTGTTCTTCCTGTGGAACCAGTTAGGAGACTGACTGAAAGAGCAGTATTGCAAGCTGGCTGATACCATAGACTCTTGAGCGTAAATGTGAGAAATTAGAACCCTAATCTACTACCTAAAAGCAAAGTGATCTTGACTAATTTACCTGACCTTTGTGAACCTCAGTGCCTTCCTATGTAAAATAAGAATAAAAATAGTGCCATAATCCTCGGCTTGACATCGGATTCAGTGGACTGATACATGTGACAACCTTAAAGAATAGGTTTGTTCTGAGACAGTGAGGACAAGAAAACCACGTTTTCCACGTTTTACTCCTAAAATAAAGTTAATGACAATCGGAAAGGACATGTTTTCATACGGTGAAATAATTTTTTTTGGAATTATAGTTTGAGGTATGTTATTTTGAAAGGACTAAAGTACATATTCGACAGTAATTATATTATTACTTTAAAAATCGGCAAATCTGTTGGTTGAAATTGTCATTTACAAAGTGGACAGTTTATTTTTACATATTTTGAAAAACATAAATTTAGTTCTAGAAACTTACATTGTTCACCTTTTTTATAGTTCCATCAAAATCCTTTAAAATGTAAATTTGTGATTTGGGCTATCTTCAAACCTTTGGAAGCACCTGTTGTAGTTTTTAGTTTAATGTTAATAAGTGCTAATCATTTCTTTTGTGTCCATTAAATTGTCATTAATATAAAAATGGATTACAGCCAGGCATGGTGGCGTAGGCCTGTAATCCCAGCATTCTGGAGCTGAGGCAAGAGGGATTGCCGAGTTCCAGGCCAGACTGAACTACACAGTGAGACTTTGTCTCAAAAAATAAATAAATAAAAATGTCTTACAAAGGAATAATGTTTGTATTTTTAATATATCATTTTGAAGGCCTATGAATATATTTTGGCTATTAAATGTATTAATACTGTACAACAAACTTTGGCAAATAGTTGGCAAACTTTTTGTGAACCCTGTGATCTCTGTGGCAACCACATAGCTTCACTGTGAGAGGAGCAATAGATAATATGGTATGACTGTGTTCCAGTAAAAAATTTTTTTAGCAAAATTGGTGACTGCCTTCCTTAGTTTGCTGACTCTTGGTTTAGAACATTGTGAGGATGCCTATGGAGAACAGCAGCAGTAAAGCATGGTTTTATGCTAATTTGCTTGTAGAGTATCTTAGAAAAAGTACTATATGATATCCATTTTGTTAGATAGGTATCTTAGAAAATGTGATCCTCCAGAGGGAAGATTCTGAGAGGCTTACCTAAAGGATAGCAGGGACAGGGTCACAAAGGATTGTTGAAGGAGGATTAAAATTGATGGGTTTTGGTACGGTTTTCAAGTTTTGGACATAGTACGGTTCCCTCTATTATTCTCCTCACACCAGTTTCTCAATCACTAATGTCCTAGGAGCGTGTTGGTGAAATTTCCCAAACAGTGATCTTAAGTCTATTACTAACTTAACTGTCCTGAAGCCTCTCTGCCTCAGTAGTACAAGGACAACCAGTTAGTTTTATTTTCCTTACTTTTTTTAGCAGCCTGTATGATGTTCAAATTGGCTTATTTAAATTTATAATTGGAGGTATTTAAGTAATAATGACTTTAAAAACAAGGCCTTGTGTATGATTAAACAAGTGGCTATACTTAGTTATACTGATCAGAATTCTCTTAACATGATTCTTTTTTTTTTTTTTTTTTTTTTTTTTTTTTTTTTTTTTTTTTTGTCTTTTTGAGACAGGGTCTTGCTATGCAGTTCCAGCTGGCCTTGAGCTCATTTTGTAGCCTAGGCTGGTCTCGAACTCGCAACAATCGTCCTGCCTCAGCCTCCTGAGTGCTGGCATTACAGGTGTACGCCACCATGCCCAACCCTTAACATGATTCTTATTATCAGATTTATTTTAAATTGTCTTTTACAGGTCCTAAGAAATATTTCTCATTTTGAGTGGAGAGCACAACATACAAAAGCTGCTCACAAACGTGAACCCGGATTAGGATTTAGTTTTGGTATGTGTTTTGTTCTGTCTTTTGACTTTAAAATAAATGTTTCTGCAGTGTGTTTGTAAACTTGATAATGACAGTCAGAGAGTAGAACCAATCACCATCCACAGATGGTTCAGTTAATCATACAGTTCTTCCTGATCTCGTTTTCTTTTTTTTTTTTTTTTTTTTTTTTTTTTTTTAATCGAACTCACGACCTTGCACTTGCCAGGCAGGCGCTTTGTCGCTGAGCTAAATCCCCAGCCCTCTCGTTTTCTTTTGAAGCATAGCACCATATACATTTAATGTGTTAGCAGCATACATACATGCATACATACGTATATATATATCTTCCCTTTTTCCTAAGTGCATTGCTCAGAATAAATGACCAATGTGCTGATATACCCGAATAGTTTTTACACATATGAATGCAACAAATACGTTTTAGACATTTACGAGATATGCAATACTGGTAACTGGTAATACCTCACAGCCTGTTTTGCAATTTTTTGAATTTAGTTTTATGAAGTATTAGGTAAGGTTCTCAGACCTTGGACTAGGGAGCAATGGGATGTCAAAGAAGAGGAATATTTTCCTTCCCTTTTCTAAAATGAAAACCCCAGGCAAAATACATGAAATAATAATCTCGTATCTTTGGTATCTTTTCCTCTAGGCCCTAAAAGCAAAGGAAAATTTTGCTTCAAAATTTTCACCTCTCCTCTAGTTGAACATCCTTATTCTCAGTTCACTCGATCTCAGAAAATAGTTCCAAGGCAGCTGAAAGAATTAACTCACACCCAGGTGCAATTTACCATCTCAGAACTCCTTAGGATTATTACTGTCTTTGTTCAAGACTTTTTTTTCCTTTCTTATAAAGTTATTTTCCTGAATTAAATGAAAAGTTTTTATGCTGGGTGACAATAGCAGTTTGGTTCAGTGGGTCCTTTTGAAATACAGTACTAGCATTGATTGGTATGATTGCTATCTAGTTTCAGCTTGTTGCAGGAGAAATCTATGATGGTTTCCTGAGTGACAGAGAATAAAACAGAAGTACTTGGGAGGAAGATTGTAAAACTCAAGGAAAAGAACATAGATGACAATTATAACTAGGTCATCTGGTACTTTAAAAACTGATGATAATGTCTGTGACCCAGGATTTCTTTGCAGATTGAATTATGTGCTCTTTTATGAAGTCCCTAGCATATAGTGACTGGGTCAAAGTAGTTTCTAAACAAAATACACATGATAAAAAAGAAATATATATATGATAGATCCCAGTCTTTCCTACCCTTTATCCACCTACAGTCTTAATAGGGACTGGCCTAAATCTTAGAAGTAAAGCTGTGATTTAGAAAACACTGGACCAAAACACTATACTTTTGCTAATTCATTATAAGACTATGAGGCAGTCATTTCTTCCCTGCATACATTATTTACCTTATCTATGACATGAGAGATTTAATCTTCTGTTCTTCAATTCAGCATCAAAATTCTGTTGTCTTTACATTTATTTCTCATGTCCCTATACAAATTATTACTATAATCTTAAACATTTTTGCTCTTCTGTGCTTTTGATCTCATTCTTCTTGCCCGAAGTAACCCTATACTCTTTTATCTACCTTTTGATATTGGATGCAACCACATTAAAATGCTAGATAGTGTGGACTTGAAAAATACAGTTAGTAGTTGATTCTTTGATCCAGCTATCACATGCATTCATTAATTTTGCAATAACAAGTCTTTGTTTTTATAAATGAGTTGTTTGGACACATTATTGGCAGTGCAGCAGAGTTTCATATTGCTGTCTCTTGAGAAATTTTCCTGTCACATTTACAACTTTTTTTAAACTCAGACAAGTTTAAGTGTACAAATTAGCATAAAGGACTAAAATAGAAATTATGGTATTGTTAATGCCCAGGAGATTGTTTGAAAGAAGCTTTCTTGCTATTTGGTGACAGGGTGTGTCACATTTCTTTAGACAGATTCTTAAGATTAGGGGCATGTTGTAGACATTAGTTTCAAAACCTGCTTATGAACTAGAAATGAAGTTTGTGTTTTTATCCTCATCAATTAAAAAAGCAGCTCTATGAATTTATATCTATTAGTTTTTTGGTAGATACTAGAAAGCTTATCTATTTCCTTCAGCATTAGTGTTGACAGATTTACTTACACTGTACAGTGAAATTGTGATTAGTTACAAATTGCATTGTAGTCTTTCAATTTCTGGTTAATCAAAGTTAAATGTATACATTGTAAATATAAATTTCTACTTATGAATTTAAAGTCTTTTTTTCTCAACTCATTGTCTTATTTTAATGTTTCCTAAATAACTTTTCCTTAGAGTTAACTGAACAGCAGAAAGAATTTCAAGCTACTGCTCGTAAATTTGTCAGGGAAGAAGTAATCCCAGTTGCTGCAGAATATGATAAAACTGGTGAAGTAAGTATACACATTTTTAAGGAGAAAGACATCTCAAGTGTTTTATAAGATCGTATAATCAAACTTTAAGTATTAAATTCATTATAACTCTGTTCTTTCCTTTTTCTTTTTTTTAGTACCCTGTGCCCCTAATTAAGAGAGCCTGGGAGCTTGGTTTAATGAATACGCACATTCCAGAGAGTTGTGGTAATCTTTCTTCACGTTTTTAGTCCCACAATGGATATGAAAAAGAAAAATGTGACACTTTACTCATTTTTTTAAACATTTATTGACATTAAATGGCTTGCTTTCTGTGCTTCTCTGTTCAGAATACCATATTTGTCTGCTTTTAGATATCTGTACTCAACACTGAGAGGCACTTTTTCCTCTCTTTAACTGGTTCCAACCTTAATTTGATCCTAACTTTGACGACTTCTTGACTATAATTGGTCAGTTTGCTACATACCATTTTACTATTTTTTCTCAATAATTGTTGCATTTTAATCCTACTTCCTGTTTTACCTTTTACTGAGACTATTTTTGTATGTGAGATTGTTTCTCTCTTCATCAAATCAGTGTATCAAAGCTTATGGGAGTTGAAACAAGTGTTTACAAAATCGCATTTAAACAATAAAGGTCCAGATTACAAGTAAATAATTTTTTGAGAATGTTAAAATTTATTTTAGAAAAGTATAACTTGTTATTGCCAGCCACACTATTTACATATATTTGTACACTTCCTTTTTAAATAAGTTAGACCATATTGGAAGCAATTAAAATAACTTCCCTTTATTTTGATTGAGATTCACTAGATATTATAATTGGCTTTTAAAACATTTTGATACCATAGGAGGTCTTGGACTTGGAACTTTTGATGCGTGTTTAATTACTGAAGAATTGGCTTATGGATGTACAGGGTTTCAGACAGCTGTTGAAGCAAATTCTTTGGGGGTAAGTTACTTATGAAATCAGTTCCCTAGGTGATCTGTTCGTGAGACATTCATAGCTAAGTATCAGTAATTGACAGAACAGTCATATAAAAAAAAATAAAGATTTAACAGTGAAGCCTGTAGTTCTGATTCCAAGGCTTGCTCACCCTTGTTCTGGTGTTTGCAGTACCCAGATTTTTAACTGTCCTTGTGAGGAAGCTGTATACTTTGGCTGTAGTTGCTCTGGCTGTAGCTGCTATGGGAATTCTTAGGCAAGGGCAAGACTTAAAGCCAGCATTCACAAGCTGATCCAGTTGGCTGGCTGCCCCTGCTGGCAGCACTTAGTGAACAGTTCTGAGGAGACGGGAGGCTTGATCATAAGCACTGTGTCACCTGTCCTAAATGTAGTGCTTTATTTGAGCATTTTACTGTTGTAAGCCTTTATATGTTACATCACCAACAAGTCCTCCATAAAACTTCATGTTGATGCTGTACTGAGATTGGCAGATACATTTCCTCATGGTTTTGGCTTTTTAACTTAGAAACAAAATAAATACAAATTCTTTCAACTTACCCTTTGGTGGGAGTGGTTATTTTGATTTCAGTTGTAGTATCTGAATTTGCATATGTAATAAAAATAATCTTGATCTTTTAATGTCAATTTTTGTTTGATAGCAAATGCCTGTTATTATTGCTGGAAATGATCAACAACAGAAGAAGTATTTGGGAAGGATGACTGAGGAACCAATGATGTGTGTGAGTATGTACAGCTGCTGCTTCATTTCACATTTCACTTTTTCTTCCTTTGTGGTACCTAGGGTTGAACTCAGGGCCCTGCCTTTTATTTTCTCTTGAGATAAGATCTCACTGTTTCCCACACTAATCTTGGATCTGCAGTCCTCCAACCTCAGCCTCCCAGGTAGCTGTGATTATAGGTATGCACTGCCATGCCTGACCTACATTTTACATTTGAGAAGAGTTAAGAAGGTGTTGTGTTTCCTTTTCAATCTATATGTGTATATGGACTATAGGACATTAAGACAAAAGTTAGCAACATATTTAGGTACAGTGATGTTTCTTGTGGAATTCTGGGATTCCACAAGAAAGTGTCATAATAAATCTCCTGCTGATTTCCATGCAAGATATACCTACTTCATGTTTTTGGGGTCCCAAAAAGTGTCAGGATAATCCCCTTGCTTTTAAGAGGGTTATGATGACTTTATAGAACAATATCTACCAAACTTTGCTGTTCAAGAACTGGGTGGTTCTTCTGAGAAACCACTTCTGAAGGAATTCAGATTAAATGAAGGATGCTTAAGTGTTTGAACCATGAAATAATAGTATTGAAAGCAATTCAGTAGATTCTTTTTTTTGTTCTTTTGGTGGTACTGGGGATTGAACCCATAGGGTTCACACTGACCTACCTGCCCGGCCCTCTTTTAATGTTTTGATTTAGGGTCTTACTTGATTGCCCAGGCTGGGCTTACACTTGTGATCCTCCTGCCTCAGCCTCTCAGAATGCTAGAATTGTAGGTAAACACCACCACTCCTGGCAATTTAATAAATATTTAAACTGGATTTTTGAAAAAGATATTAATATATATTAAGTTGATGGAGACCACTATGAAGCAGCCCTGAGCGGACTTAAATTAACCAGTTGGCTTTTTATATTGACTTGTGAATCTGTCCAAAGCCTAGGCCACTTGTCTGGAAGTGGGCAATGACAGACTCATAATAAGTGAACCTCTGTGAGTCACTCATCCCTCCGAAAACCTGTAATGGCACATGAAGCCTGAAAGCCTCAAAAGATAAGACTCTTGGATCCAATCTCAACTAGATAAAGACTGTAGCTTCAGGGGCCTCACTCTGGGGTGAGATAAGGATTAAGGATTAAATTAATACCTGGAGTCCTAGAGTAATTCCACTCTTCTTAAGTACTCCCCTCCCTTCTTCTGATAACTAAATAAATATGGGCCATCCAGAGAAGGTCTTGGTCTCAGTCCTGAGAGAATGTCGAATTCTGTGAGAGGGTTTTGATCCTCCTGGAGACCTGAAATTCTATTTGCCTCTTTTTATTTACACTCATTGCTGTACACTCATTTGCTATACACTCATTCAGGAGATTGCAGACCTGATCAGCCTGCAACTAAGAGATATTATTAACCCAATATTGTGTCTATTCTGAAGCTGTTCTTTATCTAAAAATTTTTCTTGATTATTAAGTCAAACAGATAATCAAGGTGTGATTGTGTCACTGAAATATAGTAGATCATTATTTTAAGCTAATTGTGAGAATTTACCTAAAAGAGTACAAAGTAATAATTGAAAATAAATGTTTTTCATTTATTTCAGATACCTTAAGATCAGGAAGACTGCTTAATACATTTATATATATTTTCTGATAATTGGTAATTACTCAACAAGTAATGTAGGCTAAACATTCTCAGTGTTGGCTGGGTGTGGTGGCATGCTCCTGTAATCCCAGCACTCTGGAGGCTGAGGCAGTTAGATCCCTTTGAGTTCAAGTCCAGCCTGGGCTACAAAGTGCATTTAAAACCAGCCTGAACTACATAGTGAAACCCTGTCTCCAAAAGACCAAAAAAAAAAAAAAAAAAAAAAGAAACAAAACAACAACAACAAAAAAAAACCCTCAGTGTTGTCCATGAGTTGTATAAAGCCTCTAGATTCTTTTCCTATAGCATTTGTAGTAATAGATAATAGATGAAGCATGGAGATGCTTAGGAGAACCTGTCTTAACACATTGAGAAGAATATTTGTAATTAGTTATAAGTAGGTATTCCTGAATTGTCTTTAATTAAAAGTATTTTAAACATTTTTTTTGTAGTCTTGTTTGTTATTAGTACCTGTGATATATGTAAATTTACTATTTTCCCCAAGATATCATAACTTCTGAATTAATAAAGGTTTACTGTACGTTTTTCCTTTTACAGTGCTTAATAGCACTAATTGTACCCACAGTAATGAAACTTAAGAGTGAGTATAGAAATTGCCAATAGGCATATGAATTGTAAGTTTTGTATAATCCCATAGTTCAATTATTTAAAAGTTCAGTAAATACATTTTAACTTTCTGTTAAACTTTTCAATATAGAAAATTTGAAAATGTATAAAGAAGGGCAAAAATATCCCGAGATATTCAGGTATGAAATTAACCAGGATTACTGTCTTAGATTTTTAAATATACAAATGTTTTTAGCACTCAGGGTCATACTATGAATGTAGTATATCAATTATATGTTTTTACCTTTTAATATGAGCATTTCCCTATGCTCCTTTTTAATGCTATGGTATTACTGCATAGTACGCTACCTAATATACGTACTACAAATTATTTCATTTCTCTATTATTGAATATTTACACTTTTTAGGTCTTTATTTTTTAAAATAATGCCATCATAAAAATTAATACAAGTTTTTGGATTTAAAGTTACAGTACATACATATTTGTTGTATACTCTTGCTGAGGAAAAATAGATGAGTGAGGTCAATGCTATGATCTTTAAATATAATTTAGTACAAAAATATTTCTTAAAATCAAAATTATTACATTTATATGTCATATTAGGATAAAATAAAAACCATATTTCATTTTGAAACATTGGGTTCAGTCTTTTAAACAGTATACACCTACAAGATATGCAGTATTAAAATAAAGTATTAGACTATTCAACGCTTCCTGACTTTTTGGCTAAGATCAAGTGTAGACTACTTGATAAACTTGTTTTGGGGACATTCAGTGAAACTCATTCGTTTAAAGGTAATCTTAGAACCCACAAGTCTGTGTAAAAATTCTAATGGTAAAGCAGATGCTTGTCAAAAAGCCATAGATTTCCCCTGGAGCTAGCAAATAGCTGGAATGTGCCTGAAACAGCGCTGCGTTTGGAATCTGAAGGTCTATAGTCAAGTTATGGCTCAGTTATACAATAGCAGTGTGGTCTTAAATATGTATAGCACTTAACCTCAAAGACTTTATCTAAAAACGGAATTAAATATCTGGAAAGGTAATAGTAAAAATAAGATACTTCCACGTTTATAGGAATATCTCCACTCAGTCCCTGTTTTACAAAAACATTTAAAGAAATATCTTTCATACCTAGTAAGTAACTAAGATCCTCAAGAGGCTGCCCTGTTTCTACCAGATAAGATTTTAAATTCTCAGTATGATAAAATGGCTTCTTTGTCATTTGTTCTTTCTTTTTTTCCAAAATCATAGCCTACTGTTCCTTTCCATACATAGTATTAATGTATTATAGAACTCTGGTACTTTTCAGCCTTACATTCGGTAATCCTGTTTCTTGGTATCATTGTATATGCCGTACTACTACCTATAGTACCCTTTTCTTCTCTTTTGTTCTCCTCCCAAAGAATCCCTTTTCTGTTTGAGACTTAATTTATGCATCATTTCTGAAAGTTTCTCAAGTCTCTCCTATGTAACTTTCACACTTAGACAGGAATTGCAGTAGGTTTACCCTCACTGTTAACATTGTGAAAATCTCTAGGACAGGCTGTCTTTCAGCTCTGGTTTCTTCATCTCCTATGTGATAGCCTCGTACACAGGAGGTATTCAATAGATATTTGAGTGAGTTAGTACAATTTAAATTGAATTGAATAAACTTGTTTGAAGATAGCTGTCATTTAAATTTTTGATGTACCTTATTTTAATTTATATATGAAATGTTTTTACATTTGAACCATGTAATTTATAAAGAACATTTTAATTGTAGGTATTTTTTAAATATTTGAAGTATTGACTTCAAAACTAGAATACAGGGGTTGAGAGTATAGCTCAGTGGTAGAACATTTGCTTAGCATGCCCAGTATGAAAAATTAAAACACAAAACATTAGTTCCCCAAAATTCAAAATTTTGTACCTAACATTTAATTTTTTCTCATTTCCATATATTCAAGGCCTACTGTGTAACAGAACCTGGAGCAGGCTCTGATGTAGCTGGCATAAAGACGAAGGCAGAAAAAAAAGGAGATGAGTACATCATTAATGGTCAGAAGATGTGGATAACTAATGGAGGAAAAGCTAATTGGTATGATTTTGGAAACATCTCTGTATATTTCTTAATTACTTTTATGTTCAGAATCTTTCTTATTTTTAAACCACAATTAAAATAAGCCATGTTCATGAAGAGAAGATTCTAAGAGATTACAGATACTTCAGTGATTTTCAAGAACTATTTTTAAGCCCCTTACCTATATCAGATAGATATATTCTAATAGGTTTAATTTATAAAATAAAATAAAAATAGTTACTCTGTGAACTCTACACATAAATTACATAATATATGAAAATAAAAAGCTTTTCAGTTTTTTACTGTTACTAAATTAGAATCAATGATCATTTGTTAATTGTAAGCATAGGAAATAAACTTATTGTTTGAGAATTATGCTTTTATTTCTAGTGTGGCTTGAGATTGAATCTAGCACCTTAGTACTCTACTACTAAGACACACCCCCAGCTCTGTTCTGAGCAGAAATCCTCCTAGAGGAAAGAACCAGCAAATACTCATCATACGTCAGCTATAACAAATACTGTGCCTTTGCTGCAAAAGGCGGCAGTAATCAAACATAAAAAAGTCAGAACATAATGTTCCTATTCGTAAGCAGTCTTGTTTGCCATCTTTTTTCAGATATCTGTCCCTTAAAGAATAAACTTGATTTGGAAAAGAGAAAAAATGCTATTGTGAACTTGTACATGCTTTCTTTTTTGTTGTTGTTTTGTAGTTTTTTGTTATTTTGGGTCAGGAATCAAATGCAGGACCATGCACTTGCCAGGCAGGTGCTATACTGCTGAGCTATATCACCAGCCCTGCATTCTTATCATATTACATTACGAAATGCAAGGAGTTTTTACCTACAATTTATGCTATGAAAAGTTAAGTTCCATAATAGAGAGTAGACCTGGGTTGAAATACTAGTTCTGCCAAATAGTAGGTATGTGACTTACAACAAGTTTTGAAACCTATTTGTTCATTTTCTTTTGTAAAATGAGAGTAACAATAATTAGAGTGTTAGGAGGATTAACTGAGAGAGCAGTCACTTTAGTTAATCACCATCATCATGTATGTATTTGTATCAGGTACTTTTTATTGGCACGTTCTGATCCAGATCCCAAAGCTCCAGCAAATAAAGCTTTTACTGGATTTATTGTGGAAGCAAATAGCCCAGGAATACAGATTGGAAAAAAGGTACAGTGTATATTTAACAGTGATTAAGACCTCAAGTACTAACTAAATGTCAAAATTACTATTTAAACATCCTTTAAATAAAATATTTTGTTTAGTTAGAATAAAAATAAAGCTGCATTTTGATAGCAGGTGAAATAGTTCATATGTTGAAGTTTTAAATTGAGCAAAGTAATTTTGAATGGTTGGTCCTTCACAGTACCAACCTATAGGAAATGCTAATAACAGCTGTGAGGAAGCCAGGCATGGTGGCACACACCGGTAATCCCAGCACTCAGGAGACTGAGGCGGGAGGATCTTTACAAGTTCAAGCCTGGCCTGGGCTACAAAGTGAGCTCAAGGCCAACTTGAACTGCATAGCAAGACCCTGTCTCAAAAAGACCAAAAAAAAAAAAAAACAGCTATGAGGTATCATGAAAAAGAAATCAAACTATCATTTAGATTACTTTCCCAATAGTGGAGTTTGAGACAATTGAGAGGACTTTCCCACTCTTTTTCCAGTTGGATCCTCATAGCAACCTTTTCGTAGGATAAGTGAGATTCTGCTTATCAGGTTAATAACCATTAGTTATTGTGCACTGGTCAGGCCCGTAATCTCCCAAATGAGTGGACTTCAAAGACTTAAATAAATGAGACAATTGAAATGATGTGAGGGCTCCAGGAGGGTTCAGCCCTCTCACAGAATCAAGATTCTCTGCATTGTAAGACAAAGAACTTGCTTGGGTGGCCTGTATTTCTTTGGTTTTCAAATAAAGGAAGGGGATACTGAAGAAAATGTAGGAATCTGGACAGGACTTGGGAATCCCTTTAAGGACTTCTCCAAGTAATACTTAATTTAGGAGAACTATGTTATCTCCAGAAAGGCCTTCACCGCAAGAATGAGATGCCTGCAGCTATACTCAGTCTCCTTTTAGTTAATTGGGGTTGGAGCCAAAAGTTCTCAGCTGTGGCCTTGCCTTGTCATTTGAGGGCTCATGGCTTCACCTACCCTTACAGGTCTCAGTAGGGACCAGTGACTCACAAGTAAACATGGTAAGCCAGTTGATTAATTTAAGTCCTGCTCAGAGCTGCTTCATACTAGTCTCCATCCTTGCCCATTGCATGAATTAAACAGTGTGAGTTAAATGATCACCCAAGATCATACAACATTTTAAGAGAGCCATCTATGTCTGAGAAATGTGAGAATGGCAAAGAGCCTGGAATGTGGTAAAGCACAAAAATTTTATTTAAGAAAAGGTTACTTAAAATATTTTGTAGCCTGAATATGTGGAGATAATTTAGCACTTAAAATAGACTAAAGAGAAGAGTTTAAAATGTGAGAAAGAGAAAAATGAAATCATTAAAGTATTTCTAGTGGCAGTTAACAAAACATGGTTTAAGATTATACTCTGAAAGTAGAAAGAGGGGCTCAGGTTTATAATTGTAAAGCCTTTTGCAAAATGAATTTCAAAATAACTACTAGTGTTGAAGTCCTGTCTGCACCTAACTAAGGCAAAGGAGGAATTGAAGATAAGAGATACCAAAGGTTACATGCACTTATTTTCTTCTTCCTAGGTGGTGAAAGGCATGCATTATCTGGAATAGAGTAGGTTTGTGTGTCCTGAAATGGAAAGGCTAATTTGAATTGAGCAAATGCATTTCAAAGCCAATCTTACATATTTGGAGAATCCCATTGGACTCTCTTCTGTTGTAGCCAAGCCTAAGATGAGTGTTGCTGAAGTACATAGAAAGGGTAACTTCTCTTAGATCATTGTTTTAGTTGCTTTTTTGTCACCTCAAACTTTTTTTTTTTTTGTCTTTTTGAGACAGGGTCTTGCTGCGCAGTTCAGGCTGGCCTTGAACTCACTTTGTAGCCCAGGCTGGCCTCAAACTCCACAACAATCCTCCTGCTTCAGCCTCCCAAGTGCTAGGATTACAGGCATGTGCCACCATGCCCAGCTTGTCACCTCAATCTAAATCATAACTGTCATGGAATTTTAAAGTTAGAAGATACTCTATATGTTATTTACTTCAGTTTATTCACAGAATAATGAAACCAAGATCTAACTAAATGATTTACTTAAGGTCACAATTTTCGAGGGAGAATTGTGGCCAGTAATAAGGTCTAAAAACTTACCTGTGCAGTTTCTGACATTACTGTAATATATTTTAAAAGCACAATTTTAAGAGGTATTAAAAATGGGCTGCATTTTACAAATAAATCTAATGATATTGTTTATATAAAAAAAGTAAGTACTAAGGCTGCTGTGCTTCTCCCAAGAAATCAGTTGTTGTCTGTGTAACAGGTTATGTCTCCTTCTTACAGATGACTGGGAATCTCAGGGCTATCTGTATGGTGCATGAATAGAAAGCATAAAGGACTTAACAGTTTACACTTTTTTTAGTAGTAAGCTGACTCCTGACTGTTGGTATTTCTAGTCTGTCTTTTAAGTTTCTTTAAATCTTTTTAGAAAGAAATGTCATTTACAAATATGAAATTTGATGTTCTCCAATGTTTTATGTTTCAGAAATTATATGGTTTGAGAAGAGTAGGGAGCATTTTGGTTTTAAATGTGAGACTTGAGGGTGAGTGAGAAGCAAGTTAAACAGTGTTTTCTCACTTTATCTGAATAGTACTCTAAATTACTTGTCTTACTTTTCATTGCTGGGACAGAATACCTGACACCCCCAAGTTAGAGGAGGAAAGGTTTATTTTAGCTCACAGTTTGTAGAAGTTTCAGTCTATAGTCAGCTGGCTCCAATGTAGGACAGCATGGCAGAGGGGCATTACAGAGGACAAACAGTCCATGGCCAAGCAGGCAGGAGGCAGAAAGCAGCAGCCTTCCTTCTGCTTGCCCTTTTTTATTCTATCCAGGCTACAAACCCATGGTTGGTGTTGCACACACCTAGCATGGGTCTTCCATCTTCAGTAAATCCATTCAGTCACATCCAGAACTGTGCTAAGCTAATCAGTTGGGCATTCTTTACTCAAGTTGACACAACAGTTAACTATCACAGTACTAGAGTTTATTAATTTATAAAGGCAAAATAAAGGGAAGTTAGTTTCTTCCTGAGTAGAGCTACTATTGTAACCATTTCTTCAAACCTAGAAACAGACTATTGATATTAAAGCCACCACAGTAATTAGTTTATAGCTCTGTTTTCATTGCCCCTGCTTCTCATCCTGGTTATTAAAAGCAAGATTTTATAAATTTTTCTTTCCCTTGAGAAGAAGAGTTGCAGTGTGTGTAACTTCCTCTCAGATGACTCAGCATAATGCAAATAGTTACATATACATCCACAGAGAAAGTAAATAAATGAGTCAAGATATCAACAATGGGTGCACCTAGATGAAATGTGGATAAGTGATTATTATACTATTAAAACTTCGGTTGATTTGAAATTTTTCAGAACAAAGAATTGAGGAAATATATTTAAAGTTTTCTTAAAAAGTTAAATAATCAGTGTTCCTGAGTATTTACCCAAAAGAAATGAAAACAAACACCCGTATTTGATTAACTGTGGCAGCTTCATTAATGATTGCTGAAAACTGGCAAGACAGTGGCCATCACCTGGTAGATGAGATATAGAGTGCATCCATATGGTACAATACTGCTCAACTATAAAAGAAATGAATTATTGACCATGCAAAAATAGAAGTGAATCTCAAAAGTACCATGCTAAGTGAAAAGTCAGATGGAGCTGGTTGAACTTGTTATTCCACTTAGTTAACATTCTAATGGAGAGAAAGCAGGTCAGTGGTTGCTAGGGGGTTGAAGTAGAGCAGAGGTAGTGAACCCCTTATGGCACACATGGTACCTTTTCTTCTAGGACAGAAAATGTTAATGTATGAGTTGTTTTTCCTAAACTAAAGCCTCAGTGCTCAGGTTTGATTGCAGTGTTGGTATTTTGTGATAAGTGGGTTTTGGGTTGCAGCGTGGGCTCTCGTCTCTAAATGGTTCACCATCACTGAAGTAGATCGAGTAAGGTAATTTATTATAAAGGCAGAGTAAGGTAACTTTCCAAGGTGCCAGAATATTCTGTATCTTGATTGTGATGGTGGTCACACACATACATCTGTCCATAGTATTATAAATGCATACAGTGGTTCTTACAGTTTTGCTTTTCAGTTTCAGTCACAGAAATAAATAGTTCATAAGTTTTTAATAACGTTTAGTATAATATATTGTTATATTTCTTCTGTTTTATTACTGCTTTTAACCTCTTACTGTGCATAATATATATGTTAAGTTTGATCATAGATGTGTTATACATAGGAAAAACAGTTTATAAAAGATTTGGTACTATCCATAGTTTCAGGCAGCCAATAGAACTCTTGGAATATATTCCTCACATAAAAGGAGACTGCATAAAAATGGTAAATTTTTCTGCATGTAAAGTCTACCTTAACTTAATTTCTACAAAGAGTTAGGGGAAAATAAAACCCGTTTTTTAATCAGTAGATTACTTTGGTTCTATTAGATAAGCTAATATGAAAGGTCCAAATCAAATTACGCTTGCTAAATGTTTTTACTGGCACTCATAGTAAAAAAGATAGTTTTCACACATTCACAAAATATACTCAGTTTGTAGACCTTTAGGCTAATGTTCATTTCAAAGCTGTGACACATTTTTGACTAAGGTTTGACAAACTTTTCTGATAAAGATCTGAATTCTAAATACATTAGACTTGGCAGGCTATATGGCCTCTGTGATCACTGCTTGCTCAGTTCTGCCACTATAACAAGGAAGTAGCCATAAAAGGTGATTAAACACATACATGTATCCATATTTTAGTGAATTTTTCCTTAAAAAACATATTACAGGTCATAGATAGTTGTCTCTGCTTTTAGATACTTACAAAGGCAAAACATAATGACTAAAGCTAAAATTGATATAACAAAGGTGTTTCTTAAAATATGACAATTTTCTTGTTAGGAATTAAACATGGGCCAGCGATGTTCAGATACAAGAGGAATTGTCTTTGAAGATGTAAAAGTGCCTAAAGAAAATGTTTTAATTGGTGAAGGAGCTGGTTTCAAAATTGCAATGGGAGCTTTCGATAGAACTAGACCTACAGTAAGTAATAGAAATTGATAATCTTTATAGGGTTTTTTATCTATTGCATTAAATAATTTTTTATTTTGACATTGTATGCTTGTGTTTTTAAATATCTTCTTTACTAAGAGTGGAGAAGTGATAGTATTACTTTTATATTTATAGTTCTTTTTGCTGCTCATTATAGAAATAATTTTAGCAAATTGAAAATTAAACTAGTTTCTGCTAGATCTACAGAGAGCAGTATACATTTAATTTTATCATTCCTGTTAACTATGTCCTCATTTTTTATTTTTTCATTCATTAAGAATATTTTCCCTAAGAAGGCTTCTTCTGTAAAACAGAAGAGTGACTCCTCTAGACTATCATCCTGTATCTATCATTACTTTTTTTCCCCTAATGCTAGGGATCAAACCCAGGGCTGCAGACATGCTAACCATGCATTTACCACTGATCTACATCTCCAGCCCCTGCCTTTACCTTTAATTTATAAATACTATATATTTCAGTGCTTACCTTGCTTTAAGCTATATGTTATTTTCCCTTTGTTTAATCCTTAATTTTGAATCTTAGGGAGTTAACTGTTTACTATATATCTTAAAGATAATATGAACTTTTGTTTAAAATGTTAAAATCCTAGGTAGCAGCTGGTGCAGTTGGATTAGCACAAAGAGCTTTGGATGAAGCTACCAAGTATGCCCTAGAAAGGAAAACTTTTGGAAAGCTACTTGTAGAGGTAATTTTAATGCTGTGCTTGCTTTATTGAACACTCTTTTTTATCAAAATATTTAGAAATTATTTTTAAAATACAAAATATTAACCATTCTCTCTCCTATAACTTACTGTACCTCCTATGTTGGTGTTTGAAACTATCTGTGATGGAACGCCAGTTCGTCTTTAATTTCCAATCAGTTGTGGGCCATTACTTTTGTAAAATATTAACCTACATTGAATGACAGACTGACTCTCCCAGAGTTTGAGACTAGCAAGTGATTGCGATTTGGGTGTACATTCCGTGGCAGATCATAGGCACACCTAAGGGAGCTGGGGCAAAGAAACTCTTAAAGACAAAAGGAGGTCTGTGTAAGTTCTTTTGAAACAAATATGACTAGTTATAGGAGCTTATGATCTTAATGGAAAAAGATATTGCAGGGCAAGTATCTTTGTGAGAACAACTTACCTTGTAGGGGATATTTGAGACCCAAATCATAACAGTATCCATTTCTACCTTTTAAGTTTTGAATTGATTTTAATTATTCAAAAAATAAAGTTTAAAGAAAAACATCTTTGAAAGAATCCTTGGTTTAGAAAGCTACAGTGATTAAAACAGCATGGTACTGGCACAAAAACAAAAATGTGGATCAGTGGAATAAAATAAAGCAAGCAGAAACAGTCTCACACACATTCAACTATTTCATCTCCAACAAAGGGCCAAAAACATACACTGGAGAAAAGATAGTCTCTAACAAGTGGTGCTGCGAAAATTGGATCTCTGCATGCAGATAACTGAGTCTAGACCTGTATATCTCACTGTGTACTAAACTAAAATTAAAATGGATCAGACATCTAAATTTAAAGCAGAAACAATGTGCTGAAGGATAAAACAGGTAAAACTGTTGAAGATATAGTTTTAGGCAAGGACTCTCTGAACAGAACACCAATGGCATAGGAAATAATACCAAGAATCAATAAATGAGATCATATCAGATTAAAAACTCAAAACAATTAGATCCCCGAAATAAAAGATCAAATCAAAAAATGGGCAACTGAAATGAACAGACATTTCTCAGAAGTACACATGGCTAATAAATACCTGAAAAAAAGTTCATTATCACTGGCCACTAGAGAAATACAAATTAAAACAATACTTAGCTTCTGTCTTATTCCAGAAAGAGTGGCTATCATCAAGACATAATAAAAAGTGCTGGAGAGACTCTGGGAAAAAAGGAACCCTTCTGCATAATGTTGGTGGGAATGTAAACTAGTACAACCAACCACTATGGAGATCAATGTGGAGGTTCTTCAAAAAAGTTTTTAAAAAAGTTCCATTCAACCCATCTATTCACTTTCTAGGAATATTCCCAAATCATCATATTACAGTGATACATGCATGTGTACCTATGTTTATAGCAGCACAATATAATAGCTAGGTCTTAGAAATAGCAGTATACCCATCAGTAGATGGATGGATAAACAAAATGTGGTATTTATACACAATGGAGTACTGCTCTGCTATAAAGGATAAACTTGAGGTATTTGTAGGTAAGTGGATACACCTCAAGACCATAATGTTAAATGAAATAAGTCAGATGCGTAAGTTTAAATATCATATTGTCTTATATGAGAAACCCAAAATATAAATAAAGATCAAAATAAAGGATAGATAATAGAAGTAGGGAGATCTTTTTCAAATGGGAAGGGAAGCAAGAGATGGGGGAGAGTAGAGGAAGGGAAAAGGGATTTTAAAAAGACAACTAGACAAAGAAAAAGCTTTTTCAAATTGGAAGGGGAACGGGAGTTGGCTATATACATATACAAACTCTCAATGATAAATGTAATCATGTACTGTAAACATGTATTAATAAATTTTTTTAAATCCTTAGAAAAGCACATGTTATAATCAAATAGAAATAAGGGAGGACATTGTCCTCCCTGTTGCACGTGGGAGTTATTCATACTGGTTAGTTATGCCTCCAGTAAGACCTAATTTCTGTGCTGATCTCAAGCAATTTGTCACATTCAAAAGCACTACAGTCAGGTTTATATTACCAAATATAGTGTATATATAAAGTTGAATAGTCCTATTTTTTGTGTTATTTTTTATGGCCTCTGATTCATATCAGTATATATTCAGTCATAGAATTTGTGGTTATATAACATCTATGTCATCAGATCCATTTGATACTGCTTCCTATATGTAGTGGTGTCTAATCATCTTAACATTATTGTTTCTAAATATCTACAAGACTGCTTTTTTATTTATAATTCATTCATTTATATATTGGCACTAGGGATTAAACCCAGGGCCTTTGCAATGAACCGCATCCACAGCCTTTTAAGTTTATTCTGACAGGGTCTTGGTAAATTCCTCAGTTGCCTAGGCTGGGACTGAACTTGCCATCATCCTGCCTCACTGAGTCTCCAAGGGTGCTGGGAATACTGGTATGCACCTCCATATCTAGCTAATGTCAGTCATTTTAAGGCACATGGTTCATTGTATTGTGAAACAATTTATAACAGTACAAATAAGTAATAAAATCCATAATCCTTCCAGCTAGATAATTATAATGAATATTTTGGTGTATGTTCTTTGCTCCATAAGTGTATTTTTCCAAAGTTGTAACCATACTGTATATTGGAAAATTTCTTACAATAATATATAGTAAACATATTTCCATCCTGTAATGCATTTTAACTGTATAAGTCATGAACACTTGCCATTTCTTACTGGAAGTATTTATGTGTCCTGTTTAATTTTGAGCCTCTAGAACAGTAATGGCAAACTTTTTAGAGCTTCCAGTGATGCAAACAGTCCACTGTGCTGCATGTGCCATAGGTTCACCACCACTGCTCTAGAAGAGATGAAGCATCTTATCAATATCTGACACATTTCCATTTTTTAAAGAAAGCCCAGCAGATACCAGAAGGATAATCCTTGTGATATTTGTCCTCAAAGTGCATAATCTCATTCCTGTTACAAGAAAACATTACATAAACCAAATTGAGGGACATTCTACAAAAGATGATCAATTAATATTCTTTTTTTTTTTTTTTTTTTTTTTTTTGGTTTTTCTCCGGTACCGGGAACCGAGCTCAGGACCTTGCGCTTGCCAGGCAGGCGCTTTTGCCGCTGAGCTAAATCCCCAGCCCCCAATTAATATTCTTTAAAGGGTCAAAGATCATGAAAGACTGAGGGAAAAAGCCTGGGAGAGACTGCAGAAATGGGTAAATTCAATGTATGGTTTTGGAACAGAAAAGACATTAGTGGAAACCTTGACCAAATTTGAGTAAGGTCTGTAGGTTAGTTGATAAAATATACCAATATGAATGCCTTGTCCTTGATTATATTGTACTATGGTTGTATAATTTAACTTTAGAGGAAGCTCGTTGTAACTTTTCTGCTAATCTAAAATTTCTTTAAACTGGGTGTGGTGGTGTACATCTGTAATCTCAGCACTCGAGAGTCTGAGGCCAGAGGCTGAGGCAAGAGAATCCTTGAAAGTTTGAGACCAGCCTGGGCTACAAAGTGAGCTCAAGGCCAGTCTGAACTGCATAGCAAGACCCTTTCACAAAAAAACCAGAAAACTTTCTTCAAAATAAAAACTTTAAAAAAAAAGTAGTCCTAATAGCTGGACATGGTGGCACATGCCTGTAATCCCAGCACTTGGGAAGCTGAGGCAGGAGGATCACTGTGAGTTTGAGTCCAGCCTGGGCTACACAGTGAGTTCAAGGCCAGCCTAAACCATAGGGTGCAACCCTGTCTCAACTGCCTGCCAAAAAAAGTCCTAGAAGAAAAATTTCTGAATTCTAAATCCTTAGACAACCTTAATCTGTTTCTTTTTAATTCTAGCACCAAGGAGTGTCATTTTTGCTGGCAGAAATGGCAATGAAAGTTGAGCTAGCCAGATTAAGTTACCAGAGAGCAGCTTGGGAAGTTGATGCTGGTCGCCGAAATACCTTTTATGCCTCTATTGCAAAAGCATTTGCTGGAGATATTGCAAATCAAATAGCGTCTGATGCTGTGCAGATTTTTGGAGGCTATGGATTTAATTCAGAGTATCCAGTAGAAAAATTAATGAGGGATGCCAAGATCTATCAGGTAAACTTAAGATAGACTTTTGTTTATTAGAATATTCATAAATGACAGTGGATTTCTGATTATTTAGGGATTTTAGGCTGCTGGAATGATAAATGACTATCATAGATGACTGTGAGTCAGGTTTTGGAACTGGTACATGAAAGGATGTTAATTTTTGCCAGGTCAGGTGGTGCACACCTACAGTTCCTGGTACTAGGGAGCTTGATAAGTCAGGAGAGTCACCAAGAATTCAAGGTCAGCCTGAACTACAAAGCAAGACCCTATCTCAAAACAAAATAACAAGGAAACAGAGTGTTATTTTTGACTAAGTTTAGGTCTTAAAAGGGAATAGTCTACAGAGTAAGAGGTACACACATATATAATGTGTCTGGATCAACCTCTTTTCAGTTTTAACATTCTAGATAATTGTAGCCCATGTTTTGCTCTGCATGCCACTTGAAATTACTTCATTTTCTTTTTTTTTGTTTTGTTTTTTTTGATTTTTTTTGGTTTTTCTCCGGTACCGGGAACCGAGCTCACGACCTTGCGCTTGCCAGGCAGGCGCTTTTGCCGCTGAGCTAAATCCCCAGCCCCAATTACTTCATTTTCAATGCATTTCATTGAAATCATAGTTGGAGTTAAAAGCCAACATGAGGAGATAGTGACATTTGACTTCTAAATTAAAGTGGTGATTTAAAAAAAGTTAGATAAAAGAAATTAGCCAAAAGAAATAGCCCAGCAGGTGATGTGTTATTGGGTTAATAATATCCCTTAGTTATTGCAGGCTGATCAGGTCTGCAATCTCCTCAACAAATGTATGATGAAAGCTAAATAAAAAGAGGCAAATGGAGTGATTTCAGGGTTCCAGGAGGATCAAAGCCTTCTCACAGAATTGGAGATTCTCTGAGGGCTAAAACTAAGACCTCCTCTGGATGGCCCTTGTTTACTTGGTTATCAGAAGAAGGGAGGGGAGTACTCAAGGGTGGAATTACTCAAGGACTTCTCCAAGTAATATATTAAATTAATGCTTAGTAAGGATTAAATTAATCCACCCAGGAGTGAGATGCCTGTCTTTATCTAGTTGAGATCGGATCCAGGTGTCCTTGGCTGTAATCTTATCTTTTGAGGCTGTCTTCATCTGCCATTACAGGTTTTACTAGGGATTAGTGAGTCACAGAGGTTCACTTACTATGAGTCTGTCATTGCCCACAGACAAGTGGCCTAGGCTTTGGACAGATTCCCAGTAAAGATAAAAAGCCAATTGGTTAATGTAAGTCCTACTTGGGGCTGCTTCATAATGGTCTCCTTCAGTGCATGCCTGTAATTTCAGTGAATTTTGAGGACAGCTTGTGCTACATAAGGAGGTACTGTCTGAAGAAACCAAAAGAAGGGAAGGAAAGAGAAAAGAAAAAGTGGAGAAAAGGAAAAGAATTTTTTTCAATAACTCTGCTTCTAATGCAGCCAAAGGGAAAGAAGTGAAAAAGAAAAGAAACCAAAATTACTAATAAAAACAAAATTGCTAAGGTGAAAACTATGTAGGAACAGTTCAAAAAAGTTGGATGAATTTTTTTGAAACACGAAATTTCCATTTAGCAAATATTTTAAAGGATAAATAGCCTTTTCTTTGGTGTTTTGAAGATTCTTCCCCAAATTTTCGTGAAATAATGTTTTTATACTTAAACTACTTTTACAGGTGTCAGACTGTCCGTAGGCTACAGACTATACATGGCTTGCCTCAGTTTAATACTACAGTGGAATTCATACTGTTATCCAAACTATTGAATAAATCAAGCTATCTGTGTACTGTAGATATTTAATCTTCCTTTATATTTTTCTTACAGATTTATGAAGGTACTGCACAAATTCAAAGGCTTATTATAGCCCGTGAACATATTGCCAAGTATAAAAGTTAGAGATTGCTGTAGAGATTGCAAAACATGATTCATTGTGAACAACGGAGATTGCAAAACATACATAATCCTTTAAAAGCTAGCACATGATTGAGTACTTGTGCTTGAGAAAAGAGAAAGGGCTTTAATATTGTTCCAATGCTTATATAAATCTATGCATTTGATTGTAATCATAGTTTGTACTTTTGTACCAATGCAATGATTTTCCTTTTTTCAAACATTTGGTCTCATTAAAGTATGTATTGTCCTCATTACCACTATCCTTGAACAATACTAACCTAGAAAAAATAATTTTATCATTTGTATCTCTTAAAATAGCAGTGATATCCTCTAATTCTGATATTTTTAGTGACAGAAAAGTGAGCTTATCAAGAATTCAGAGAATGTTCCAAAATTTACATTGAGAAAACATTGTAGGATTTGGATACTATCAAACAATTTACCAAAGACTTTGTAGACTTAATGGTATTATTGTATCAAAGGAATTTATTTTATAATTTGGGATGAATTTTTTTAGTTTTACACAGAAAAAGAATGTCTTGAAAATTATACTATTGAGTTCACATTGCATTTGCCTTATTTTCAAGTACTAAAGTTTGCCTTAAATTATTTTTATATGACTCTTAGTCTTTGGGTAACCTTTAGTCTATTGTATACAATAGACTTTTTCATTCTGAAAAGGAACTTAAATAAAATTATCTGTCACTGCTTAATAGTTTGCCTTTGTGTATTTTTTTCCAGGATGCTTTATGACTTCATGTATTTTCTCCTCCAAGCAGGCCATGCTTTGATTTTCAACTACATAAAATTATCTGCTTTTTTATTATATTATTAAAGACCTCAGAAAATATAAATGTAAAATAATGTAAGAATCAAAATGTGTGGATTTAATGATTCTTTATAATTCAGAATACTAAATACTACAAAACTACTAGTCTGTTTTCTGACACTACTTCTGATTCTTCATCTTGGTGGGCTGCTTGTGGGCTGCATTTCATTTCTGTCCTGATATGACCCATCGCTAGACTGTCTCTGCAGTCTGCCCTCACTTCAGAGGCCGGTCTTATCCTTGGAACCCCAGGCTACCTATATTCAGTCCAACATGGCTACAAATTCAGAAATTCCCATGAGCTCACCCTCAGGTTTAATAATTTTCTAGAATGTTTCACAGAACTCAGGAAAACACTTTACTTATTTATTACAAAGGATACATTTGAGGGATAGCAGTGGAAGCAATACAGAGGGCAAGGTCTGGTGGCAGGCAGGGAACTGGAAGCTTCTTGAACCCCATTCACTATCTGTTCCTCTCTTCCCAAGAGGATAAGCTGAGGCTCTCACCTGTAATTAACCTGTTAAAAAAATACTATAGACTATGTAGCATAACTAGAAATACATTTTCTCACAATTCTGGACACTAGATCAAAGTGCCCTTAAGGTTGCTTCCTGTTGAAGCCTCTTCTTGTCTGTAGAATTCCACCTTCGTGCTATGTCCTCTTTGCAAGCAAGGTTTAGGCTGAGGGAACTCGGGTGTCTTTTCTTCTTATAAGGTGTGCTGGCTGGTTGTGTCAACTTGAGTTGTAACACCCATCTAGATTCGCTCAGCATAGTTCTGGGTGTGGAAGATCCACTATAAGGAGGATCAGCACCAGAATGGTGTAAAGGGAATGAAGGAGGATTGTTTCTGTTTCTTCAAAGAAGCTCCAATCTTTGCTTTCACCTTGGTTTTCCTCTCCTGGCTTCCAGTGCAGACCCTTCAGCCTCCTGTTACACTCACAGGGGACACTACAGTGAGCTCCAGGCTTTCAACTAGATCTTTCAGATCCCCAGTGCACAGACAGACCTTTTGCACTCTTCCACACCCAACTCCCAGAACTTGGGAGACAGAAGCAGGAGGATTGCTGCAAGTTTGAGGCCAGCATAAGCTGCATAGTGAATTCAAGGCCAGTCTGAATTACATAGTGAGACCCTGTCTCAAAAAACAAAAAGTGAAAACAAAAAAAAGAAAAACATGGTGCTTTAATCAGGAAACTCAAGGGGTCTTAGGAGCTCTGTGCCAGGAACTTGAGGCAAAGACTGAATATTGAGTATAACACAGTTACCAAAATAATGATCTTACAGAAACAGTATTTATGTGACTTTCATGCTCAGTATTGAAATTTTAATGGTACAACTAAAGATTTGGTAAAATGTAGCCTTCAAAATGGGTACTTCTTGAGTATTACATAGAAACTATAAGTAGACTACATACATTCCAAATGTAGATTTGAATTTGTAATACTATGAAGATCCAAAAATTTACCAATTTAAACAGCTTCTAGACATGATATAAATGTACTCCAAAACCATAGGATGAAAATATTAACATTCTTAGTATTAAGCAGTCATATATCAGTTACAACTTTTAATCACAAGAAGTGACTTTAAGCTACTTTAAGCAAGCAAGAAAATAATGTACAGTACTTTAAGTATACTGAGTGCCTCCTGGATCTGAAGGGCAGTGATGGAATCAGTTACAGAAAAGAACAATAACCAGAATAATTAGTGGGTTTTTTTTTCTTTTTGTCTTATTTGTTGAAATATGTTCTTACTACATAATCCAGGTTGGCCTTTTGAACTCACTGTGTAGCCCAGGCTCGCCTTGAATTTGCAATTCTGCATCGGCCTTTCCAGTGTTAGGATTACAGGCATGTGCCACTACACGCACCAGAATAGTCAGTCTTTTTTTTTAATGAATACAAGTAGATATTAATAAAATATAAAAAGCACTGTTCTATGAAAAAAAATTTTGAAACAAAGATAACCATTAATATAAGTCTTGACTTTTTTTTTTTTTTTTTTTTTTTTGAGGCAGGGTCTCATAATGTTGCCCAGGTTGGTCTTTTTTGTCTTTTTCAGACATGGTCTCATTATTCAATTCAGGCTGGTCTTGAACTTATTTTGTAGCCCAGGCTGATCTGGAACTCGCAACAATCCTCCTGCCTCAACCTCCCAAGTGCTGGGATTACAGGCATGCGCCACCATGCCCAGCTGTAAGTCTTGATCTTAAGAGAATGGCCAAAATATTACTCATGGCGAAGTCATAGATAAAGGAAAAAGAGCCCTCTCTTACAAAGAAGAAGAAAACTAATAACAGGACAAAACTTTGTTTTCAATGAGCAAAAACTAGTAGTAAACAAATAGCATATACTTTAAAATACTTAACAGAATAGATAACTTGGAGAATTATTTGAATTTCCTACTTCTTATTTATATTCTATTTTGCTTTTTATTTATAAATAGAGTATGTATTTTGAGCATCATATAACAGAAATAATGTATTTAAGTTTGTCTTCCTGAGTTACTTTATGTTCTGAGGTTACATCCATTTGCCTATGAATGTCTGAAGTTTATAACAGAATCGTACTCCATTATGTATAAATACCACATTTTCTTTGTCCATTTATCTATTGATAAATCATACATGTTGTCAAGATCTAGCAGTTATAAATTTGTGATGCTGTAAACATGGGTATGCATGTATCCCTGTAATATGATTTTGACTCTTTTAGGAAGATATCTAGGAGAATAGCCAGATCAAATAGAATTCCTGTTTTTAGTTTTTTGAGGTATCTCCACATAGGTTTCCATATTGCTTCTACTAGTTTACATTCCCACCAACAATGCAGAAGTGTTACTTCACATCCTCGTCAGTGTTCATTACTTGGTTTCTCGATCATAGTCATTCTTTCTGGGGTAAGAGAGTATCTCAATATAAATTTGCATTTCTCTAATGGCCAGCAATACTGAACTTGTTCATGTGTTTTTTCACCATTTGTACTTCTTTGGAGAAGTGTCTGTTTATTGTAGTTACCCATTTTTCGATTGGGTCTTTTATTATGGAGGGTCTGATTTTTTTTTTTTTTTTGAGTTTTCCATACATTCTAAATGTTAGTCCTCTGTCTGAGGATAGATGGCAAGAGTTTTTCCCCATTCTATAGGTTGTCTCTTCACTCTGTTGGTTTCCTTTGCTATGTAGAAGCTTTTTGATTTGCTAAGATTCCATTTGTTGATTTTCATTATTTTTGTGCCATTGGGGTTCTGTTCCAAAAGTCTTTGCCTACACCTGCATCTGATATGCAGATTTAACACAGTCCAAGTCAAAATACCAACAGCATTTCTCACAGATCTAAAGAAAACAATCCTAAAATTCATATGGAATTAGAAGAGATGCAAAATAGTAAAAACAGGTATGTGGGTCAATGGAACAGATTAGAGGAAGCAGAAACAATGCCAGGCACATTCAGCTAGCTATTTGATGTTTGACAAAGGGCCAAAGATATGCACAGGAGGAAAGATAACTTCTTTAATAGATATTGCTGGGAAAATTGGATACCTATATGAAGAAGATTAAGTGAATATTCATATATTTTACCATATACTGAACTAAAATCAAAATGGATCAAAGATCTAAATGTAAAATCAATCTACTGGATGATAGATCAGGTAGAGCTCTTAAAGAATAGTCAATCTGGAGAAATCCATGAGATACAATTTTTTCTTTTGTATTCTGCCATGCTTCTTTTTCTTCCTCTATAGTCTGGCTTTCTCTGCTTCTTTGATTCTACAATAGAATAAGACTTTGCTATGGCATATTTATATTCTCAGTTGACCACTACAACCATAAGTGGACTGTTTAGGCCCTTTTATTGCCTAGAAGGTAGGTAGCCTCAAGAATACAAACTGATATTTTGGTTCTCTATGTTTTGAAGGTTCTATAACCAAGAGGGTAAAATGGACCTTTAAAAATTAAAGACTATCTTAAAGAGATAAGCTGTTTCTCCAAATTTCTCATGCTGAGGGCATAAAGCACCACCCCCTCCTCCTTAATCCAGATGAATGCTCAGGAAAGTAACACCTCAGTCAGAAAACTAGGGTGTTCTATGACAGGCATATGCAGATGCTGGCCCCTGATGTAGGAGGTCACGTCTGATTTGGTTTCCACAAGGATAGGAAGGAGCTGAGAATGGCAAGGAGATGCAGCAACACGAGAGCCTCCTTGTCTCCTAACTCACTGTATTCCTCCCCCCTCTTCCCCGCACTAAAAGCCATTGTGCACTTGAACAAGGGGAGACTAAGGTTGGGAGCAGAGTTGTCTCCTAGAGAAAGCAGCTTTTCATGAGATCTAGTACATGTATGGTAATGTTAACCTATATTTAAGGAAGCTGCCATCATCAGTTTGCATACAGGGAGAAGATTATTTCAAAACTCGTTTGGACTTAAAAAAATAAAAAGCCAAATGTAGTGGTGCATGCCTATAATCCCAGAACTCAATTATATTTTTCAGAAATTTAAACTTTATGTAGAAGTTAGGTTAATTTGACAGCTAGCCAGTATAAAAACGGTAGCAAATTCAGACTAATAGTCTTTTGTTTACAAAATGTCTATTTTTAAAGTACTTTCAAGATTGGGGATTTAGCTCAGTGGTAGAGTATGTGCTTAGCGTTTTCAGGGCCTTGGGTTCAATCTCTAACTACAAGAACAAAAATACTACTCGGTATGGTAGTATATGTTTTAGTATACTATATACTATAACAAAATACCATAAAATGATGGCTTATCAATTACTGAAATTTACTGCTTATAGTTCTGAAGACTGGAAATCTGAGATCAGGATGCCAGCAAGGTTCAGTTCTTGTGAGGATTCTCTTCTAGGGCTACTTATTGCAATATCCTC